TGTTTTCACTACTATCACACACACACACACACAAACAAACAAACGCACAAACACACAAATACATATGCATATATATACCTACAGACGGATATGAGGAGTAAATGTATTCTCTACAAATGGAGAATATTTCACGAAGGAGATGAAAAATATATAGTATAATTTAGACAAAACACTTTAAGTACTTGACTCAGAAACAAATACACCTCCGCCTCACCCCACCCCCCCCCAACACACATACACACACCAACATACATATACAAACTAATTCAGTCTATTGTAAGAAAAAGGATTGACAGTAAAGGTTTGTAAGAACAGACATCACTTAGTTTTTGTCAATAAGAGAATAAACACTTTCATTAATAATTACTTCAAATCGAATAATAATAATAATAATTTTCTATAGTTTGGTTTGTAAGGGTTTTTTATGTTTTTACGAGTTGATCACGGACTGATATCAGTTAGAGAACCATTGAAAACCAGCAGGGAGTATTGGACAGCTGTTTCACCATAGTTTGTGAATCATCGGCAGTACGCACCCACTACAGGGACTAGAACCCAGGACCTTCCGGTTACAAGGCAAGCTTGTATACCATCAGCCACTGGGACCCGATTCAATGGCTCATGAATTCTAACTTCTACCAATTCGTGTTAGGACCCACCACGTCGTTGGTGGCTCTCACATCACTAATTGGTAGAAGTTAGAATTCATGAGCTATTGAATCGGGTCCCAGTGGCTGATGGTATACAAGCTTGCCTTGTAACCGGAAGGTCCTGGGTTCTAGTCCCTGTAGTGGGTGCGTACTGCCGATGATTCACAAACTATGGTGAAACAGCTGTCCAATACTCCCTGCTGGTTTTCAATGGTTCTCTAACTGATATCAGTCCGTGATCAACTCGTAATAATAATAATAATGAACTGCAGAGAGTAAAATTCCATTTTGGTTCCTTTTCATTCTTTTCTGTTCCACCGAGTGAAAAACGTGGGGGCTGCAAGCTTGAGCTATAGATAGAGTTGCTAGCCTCACAACGCACAATCTTCACGTCTTACAGTGTTGACTACCTACCTGCTAAGCAAGGTGTGTCAATCAGCCTGTGATAGTGTAGTGTAATCGGACCAAGTACAAATAACCTGTATTTCTAGCATTCATGATGAATAATGAGTGCGTCAGTGGCATAGTGGTTAGGATGCTCGCCGACCATGCACATGGTCCGGGGTTCGATCCCCGGCCACCGACGCACTCCTTTACCTCACTAAGCCAGAAATAATGCTGGTAAAGAGGAAAGGTTGGGCATGAGGCGGCTAGCAACCCCATCCTGTAAAATAAACACTGCTACAGAAACTTCAAGCCACTAGCTTGAAGCCCTATGTTCCACTGGGGAACGTGAAAGAAAAAAAGATGAATAATACCTTCTCATAGAATGACAGACAAGTATGCAGTAACAACAGCAATACAGGTGGATAACAAATTATCAATCAGAGAAACTGGGCACAACTACACAACGGTTCAAGTTGTTATATTCCTCAATATCAAAGCAAAGCAGATAAAGATAACAAGCATGAGAGGTAACCATTGAAACATATCTGTTTAGTCCTAAGTTCAGGACTCATCGGCAGTACACTCCTATTGGGGTTCGAATCCAGGATCTACCGGTAATGAGGCGAGCTCGTACAACAATCCGACCACTGAGAAATAACAGAATTTGGAATTCATGGACTATTGGTTCGGGTCTGAGTGGTTGGATGGTCTACGTGCTCACCTTATAACCAGAGGGTCCTGAGTTCGAAACCCGGTGGGCGAATACTGTCAGTCAGTCAGTCCCAAACTAGGAAGAAACAGCTGGTGAGTACTCCCTGATTTTCCAGTAGCTCTCTAACTGAGGTCAACTCGTGGCCAATCCTGTAACCAATCAAATCTCTGCAAACCAACCCTTGCAATTACATAATGGTGACATAGAAAATGAAAAAAAGAAAGAACAGTACGAATAATTCAGCTTGATGTCTGTCTGTCCGTTTTCGACATAGAACTTTGCACATATGTGCGGCAGTTCAAGTCGCCACACTCCTTCCGTGTAGCACACAAAGCAAGAGAAGAAAGTAGAAGAAATGCATTTTAGAGACAGTAATCAGAGGTGTGAGACAAAGGTATAGTAATAACGAAGAACAAAACAGTTTCATTGGAAATCATAAGTCACAAGGGGAGTGGATGCATCTGCGCCAGCCATTGACAACAATTCTCAGCCATATCACCAATTGTTTCCAGCCGTCATTGGTTTTTACAGTCCCGAGGACCCTAACCAGGAAGTCTACACCTTCCTACATGGCTTAAACAAACTGTTGTAGATTTCATTGACTGATGCCACCATGTTTTGGTTTGGCCACCACTTACTCTCTCTCTTCCAACCTGATCAATCCCATGTCAGTCAGTTAACAGTGACCGTCGAGGAAAGCGATAAGATGGCTGGGCATACGTAACACATGTCCGAACCACCTCAGTCGATGTAATTTCACGGCCGGGTCGATTGATTTCCCCTCCTTACCTAGAACTCGACCGAAGCCTAACCTCAATATTGCTCACTCACTCTATTATACCATTTCACACGAGAAATAGAACGCAGGCACCTATGATCAAAGACAGCTAATCTTTTTATGCCTTCCACTCTCAATGGTCAGGTCTCACAGCCATAAAGGAGGACGGAGCGGACTGATGAGCAGTACACATTTAGCTTGATACTTAAGGCGTGAAGGTAACTAATACATGAATCTGTGCAATTGAAGTCGATCCTGAACCATAACTCTTGCAGTGACATAGTCGTTCAATCTGGTGGTCAAGGAGATGATCCCATCCAGAAAAAAACAGTTTACACTTTCAGAAATAATACAGAATAACAGTGTAAGATCTTATGTCTTATTCTGGTCATATTTAAATCTTGTTTCTAAGCTAAGCATTGCATGCCAGATAGAATAGGCAATAGGTTGGTTAACCCACACTCGATTAAGGTTTGTTACTCTTTCAAACTAAACTCTTTTTATTATCTAGGGTTCATGTAAAAGTTCTAAAAAATACAAGTAATACTTCCCACTAAAACCCCAGACCTGAAGATTTAGTAAAAAGTCGTAGCCGGTAGGGTCCACCCCGTCGGGAGTGAGGATAGATACTCGCCAGCGATGACATTGGTTGGTGGTCAGGCTAAAATCACGAATCGGTAGAAGTTAGAATTCATGGGCCATTGAATCAGGTTCCAGTGGCTGAGCGGTATACGAGCTTGCCTTGCAACCGGAAGGTCTTGGGTTCGAACCCTGGTAGTGGATGCGCACTGCCGATGATTCCCAAACTAGGATGAAACAGATGTCCAGTAATCGCTGCTGGTTTTCGATGGTTCTCTAACTGATATCAAACCGTGTTCAAACTCGAAAAAATCTAATCCTTACAGATCAACTCTTGGAAATTAATCCGATGCTCGCTAGTGATTTGCTACAGTACGGAGTTTCCTGGAGTTCTAGTGAGAAGTCGTGACCAGTGAGGTCCATCCAGTCAAGTGTGAGGATGGAGTTCCCACCAATGACATTGGTTGGTAGTCGTGCTAAAATCACAGATTGGTAGAGGTTAGAATCCATGTGGTAGTCATTGAATCAAGTCCCAGTGGCTGAAAGCCCTATGAACTCCCCTCGTGACCGGAGCATCCTGGCTTAGAACGCCGGTGGGTGTGTACCGGCAATGGGTTCGAAACTAAGACGAAACAACTGTCCAGTATTCCCTGGTTTTCAGTGGTAGAAACCCTTGGATCTAGGTTTCGCGCATTTCAACCATCACCTCCCTCCCTCTCTTTCAAAGATTACAGCCTGCAACACCCAATGGTGCACTCGAGGACATTACGACTGAACTATTCAGACTGACGATTGACCTTCTGTAGGATTGATCAATACAGTGCAATCAATATCATGTGACTGATTGACTGACTGGCTGGCGGATTTTCAACCTAAAACTTTACACAGAAGTGCACCAGTTCATCAAGTTCCCACACCTCAAATACCTCACAAAGGTAGACAAAAGAAAGGCAAAATAGAGATTCAAAAAAACTCTAACGATCAGAAATGTACGATGGATCGAGGAGATCACAACCAAGGGACCCAACCAGGCAATCTACACCATTTGTGTGGCTCAAAGCAACTGTCAAAAACTTTGTGGATTGATTTCTAGGTTTTGGTTTGACCAAAAACGCCTAACTCTATTCCAACGCAACACTTTGATAGCCAACACCATTCATCGAGGACGTCGGTGGCTCGGCAGGCGTAACACGTTTCGTGACTGTAAATATCGTGTGTCTAGTACTTAGTGTTGGTGTATAGTATCTACCATTGATTGTGAAGGGAATTATTGCTCATACTGTTTAGACCATATGACCTCGTAAACGCTATGACTTCATAGAGTAGACTAATAAAGACAATAAACAGGTGTAAATCGTTTTCACCTAATGTCAATAACGGACGCAATAACAATAAAGTAAAAATACACGAGATTATAGGTCACACTTTATGAATGAAAGACATATAATATCAAGAACAAAAAACAGGGTGATGAAAAGTGTTATTTGTATCCAACGCCTAATTAAATAACTTGACAGATGAATTCTGTACACCAGAACAATCGTCTAATAAAAGTTATTTAAAAATAGAACGATGTGCGTCGGTGACACAACCCCACACGTGGTCCATGGTTCGATCCCCGGCCACCGACGCACTCCTTCACCTCACTAAGCCAGTAATATTATACCTGGTAAAGAGGGAAGGTTGGGCATGAGGCGGCTAGCAACTCCATCCCGTAAAAGTAAACACCACTGCTATAGAAACTTTAAGCCTCTAGCTTGAAGCTCTATGTTCCACAGTGGGAACGTAAAGGAATAAAAAAAAAAAAACAACAACAACAGAACGATAAAATCTCTCTTCATTGCTCAACAGTACTTATATAACAATATTAGAAAAATAATAATAATAAGAATACCTGTTGTGATTTGAGTAACCTTCAGATTTTCGAGCTTCCTGTTGTGACCGGAGGTGACGACGAGTACTTGAGACAGTAGAAGAGTGACTAGTAGCAGCATATGGTGTTTGATAGTGACCAGCAGATTCTGGTGAAGTTGTCACATTATTATTATTTGTTGTTTTTACTACTGTTAGTATTATTATTATTATTACTCGACGATACACGAGAATGCGTAGAACGTGAACGATGTGGAGATCGAGTGGCCTTTTTCATCTGTTTACTCATATGCTGTGAATTTATGTAAACAGCGGGAGTCTACAATTCAACGAACAAAAAAATAAACAAATAAAGGATCATCCAGATGCTGGTTTGAATGTATGCATATCATAATATAAATAAGCAGAACAACTGTTTTCAAAATAATAGAAAAGATCCGCAGCTCAAGATGAAAATGAAAATAAATTTCGATGTTTCCCTAACTTGGAACTCAAATAAAGAACCCGGTAGGGGCTCTTCAACTGTTATTATGTGGCCATGAGTTCATAGCTTCAGCCATTATATATTATTATTATGGTTTCCATTAATTCCTAGAGGAACATAGGGCTTCAGTCGTGCGTCTCCACTGTGTTCGGTTCTCTGCTATAGTCCTCACCTGGCTCCAAGTCTGCCCACACGTTTTCATCTCCTCTTCACATGACCTCCTCCAAGTCACCCCACCCTTGCACTGACGACCAACTCGCCACTTCCCTTTCGGGTACCACTCGAGTGATGGCTTGTCTAGTGATGTCACTTGATGGTTTCCTCAGAGTATGGCCAATCCATCTCCATTTCTTCCTGCCTATTTGTTTCACAATCGGTTCCTGGTTGGTTCGCTCATTGCCAGAGATCTCTGTTGCTGATCTTTTCTGGCCGGCCATCTGATCTTGAGTAGTATTGAGCGAATACAACTGTTAATGAAGGTCTGTAGCTTGTTTGAGATGCTCTTCATGACTCGCAGTGCAAGTCTCTGATCCGTATAGTAGCACTGACTGACTTCACATTGGAGTTGAAAATCCGGATCTTATTTTTGATGCTGAGTGCTGTTGACCTCCACACAGACCTGAGAGTAGTGAAAGCTTGTCTTGCTTTTCCGATTCTTGCTTTGATATCCTCGTCAGTTCCGCCTGTAGTTGAAACGATGCTTCCCAGGTAGGTAAAAGAGGTTGTTTCTTTCAGGTTCCTCCCATTTATGCTGATTGTTATCTGTTGTTGTTGTTGCTGTTGGCCAGGAATCTTCATCACCTCTGTTTTCTCTTTGTTCACCTGAAGCTTCAGCCAGGTAGGTCCTATTCACTGACTTCATGCATCGAGAATGTTCTTCACGAAAGTAAAAGGGCGGATCCGAACGTCTGGCACTTACAAAACCGACTGGTAGACCAATGCTGGTGGTTTACCTAGGAGAACTGAGAAACTCTGATTCAAAATAGGTGATGTACATAGGTTCCTGAATCTGAAAGGGTCTAATGGCCTATGAACATGTTTTGGCCACCATTGCTCCACTTTCCTGTGGATCAAACTTCAAGTCAAAGGCCTATGGGGTGGTCCCTTGAGACAACCAGCTGTTTCAGTCTGGGCGTCCAGATAGTAGTATCCCAACCCATGCACAAACCATGAGATTTTGTGTGGCGTACCTCTTAGTGCTCATAATGTGCCGAGTTTGTGTTTCAACAATAATAATGAAATACTTTGTGTATTTATCCGTGTGTGTGCGGTGAGACGTGGCCATTGAGAGCGGAAGACATGAAGAGATTGTCTGTTTTTGACCACAGATGTTTACGATCCCTTTCTCACGTTAGGTGGTATAATAAGGTAAGTAATGTTGACGTTAGGCGTAGAGTGTTGGGCAAAGAAGGAAAATCAATCGACGAGGCTATAAAGTTACATAGATTGAGATGGTTAGGTCACGTGCTGCGTATGCCTAACCATCGCCTCCCCCCCCCGACGGGCATTACTAGCTGATATAGGTGCAGGTTGGAAAAGAGTAAGTGGTGGCCAAACAAAAACATGGCCTCATCAATCCATGAAATCCTTGACAGTTAAACTGAGTCAGGTAGGGAGGGAGATGCAGACTTCCGGGTTAGGGCCAGCCCTCGGGACTCTAAGAATCAATCGACGGCTGGAGACAATAGGTGACATGGCTCAAAATCGTTGTCAATGGCTTACGCAGATGTATTCAGTCTCTTGTGTAATCTTTCATATTCCTTTCTACCATTACTCATTCTGTTTCACTCTTATACTTGTCAAAACTCTTTTGATTCTCTTCACTCATCTTCTTGTCTACCTTTGTGTGGTATTTGGAACGTGGCAACTCGAACTGCTGCACTTCGGTGCCAAGTTCTATGTTGAATCCAGCAGCAGCAGCAGCAGCAAAGCGATTTCCATAAATCATGTTCTATGTCTAAAAGTATATTCTGAGCCACATTAAATATGAGTGAACATGATTACATTCCAATTGATGGGTCTCAGGGTTCGAATCTCGTTTCACCTATTTTAGCCTTGAGGCACAACTGAGTAGTAATAGTATTATTAGGCTTCACACAATAAGTGTGGCACACAACCCGATATCGGGTAATTGCGTTCTAAATGGCTAACTAGCCATGGGACTAGAACACATTAAAAATGACGAAATACGATAATTCAAGTGAGTAGTTGACTTCAAGAGAATATAAAGAAGACGGAGGTGACGAAGATAACCAACCAATAATGATACGAACAAGCACCAATCACTAACAACGGAAGATGTTTGAAAGAGGTCACCTCCATCACTTATCTAGACAGCATCGTTTCCAATACAGGCACATAGCACGGATGACGACGTCGAAGGCAGGATGGGAAAGGCAAGACAGACCTTTTATCACTCTGAATCAGTTTGTCCAGTCTCTTATTCTAACTATGGTCTTAACCTCTTCATTATTCATTTTTAATGATTAGTTTGCTTTTATTTTAATAATTAACTCACTACTATCACTCTCACGTGTTTCTTTTGCACATTTTCTCACCACCTTCACACTTGTTAAATGAACGCTCAACTACCTATGTTCTCACTCATGGGCCATTGGATCGAGTCCCAGTGGCTTAATGGTCTACGAGCTCGCCTTGTAACCAGAAGGTCCTGGGTTTGAACCCTGGCGGTGGGTGCGTACTGACTAAGTGTCCCAAACTTGGACTAGAGAAACAGCTTTCCAGTACTCTCTGCTGGTTTTCCAATGCTTTTCTAACCGGTGTCAGCTCATGATGAAATCCTCCAACCAATCAAACTAAATCCCTACAAAAACCAATACTTGAAAAAAAAAAGAACAATTTTAACCTTATCAAATTTCTAACCTTTTTTTCCTTTGTGCCATTGAGTATTACTTAATTTATAACTTTTACTTTCGAGGTTACTTCTGAGTAATTATATCAAATCGAGAATCGGGAAGGCGAGAAACACATTCATCAACCTGAAACCAATCTGAAAATCTTCGTCACTCAACTCAGCATCAACAACAAAATTCGGATTTTCAATACAAACGTCAAGTCAGTCAGTTCTTCCATACGGATCAGAAACTTGGTGGGTCACAAAGAATGAGTATTTCCAACAGCCTGTTGCAGACCTTTATCAACAGCTGTCTTCGCTCTATACTCAAGATCAGATGGCCGGAAAGAATCATAAACAAGGAACTATGCGAACAAACAAAACAAGAACCAATCGCTGAACAAATATGCAGGAGAATGTGGAGATGGATTGGACACTCGCTGAGGAGGCCACTGGTTGGCATCGCGCGTCAGGCCAACGCTCGAGTGGAACCCGAAAGGGAAGCGGCGAGTGGTTCGTCGGTGCAAGGGTGACATGGAGAAGATCATGTGAAGAGGAGTTAAAACAGTATGGACTAACATGGATGCAGGTGAAAAGTACAGCAGAAGACAGAAGCAAGTGGAGACGTTCAGTTGAAGCCCTTTGTTCCACTAGGAACCCAAGGGAACAATAATAATAATAATATCATTTATGTCACACGCAAACACACACACACCATATTACTGAGTAATGGACTACTATACATTTTTGATAAATATAAATACAATTGTACAACCTCTGAAGATAATTTCGTCGATAAAGAAAATTTTCTTCAGTGAATTGTCTTTTAAAAAAAATTGAAAACTTTTATAAAACACAATATATACATATTTAATGCCCTCACCTGAGATTCAGCACACCGTTCAGATGGGATAACATTTTGATTAGATGACTGCTGACGTTGACGATGACGACGTGTGGCAGTCGTAGTAGTAGTAGTAGTATTTGAAGGTATTATAATATTATCTTGAGTATGCTGCCGATGATTACTGCGATTTTGTTGTTGATACTGAGGATCATGATAAGAATTCGATTTTTTAATCATATTTGTTACAACACTAGTTGGTTCAACAACATGCATTGGAGAAGAAAAATAGGAAGGTGAATTAGGATCTATTGAAGTTGTTGGTATTTTTGTTATTGTTGTTGTTGTTGTGTTGTTGTTGTTGATTGGTTGATTACATTAACAGATGTGTTAGGCGCTGAGATTGAATTAGCTAAAGATTTTCTCCGAGTACCCTGTTTACCTTGTTTACTGACACTGACAGTAGTAGTAGGAGGAGGAGGGGGAGGGGGAGGATTTTCAGGAGGTTCTGGTAATGGACGATATTTAACTGGTTTAGAATGATGCGTGGTTATCATTGCTGGAGTTGTATAACTTACACGAGGAGGCAGTGGAGGTGGATTTATATCAGGCGGAGGACAATAAGGATTAACATGAACTGTATTATTATTATTATTATAGGCACTACTATTATGACTACTGTTCATCATTATACGAGGTGAGATAACTTTGCGTAAAGGCGAATCTGTGTTAACTGTATGCGAATTGAGGTGAACAGCTGATTTAGGTGAATTTGAATAATAATGACCAGATGGTATATAAGGATGAGCAACTTTATTCATAGGTAAACTATTTGGATTAATATAGTTATTATTATTACTATTATTACTACTACTGATAGCATTAATAGTAGTAGTGGCAGTAGTAGTGTGAATTTCTGTCGTTAACTTCGATGGTGGTTGTGGTGTTAAGGAGGATTGATTAACAGAAAGTTGATTCTCTGGAACTGAACTACGTCTTAATTGTTGTTTCTTGCTTTTAGGCAGAAGAAGATGATGATTTGATGCTGTCTCTGATGTCTTTGAATGATGATGATGATGATTAGCGGTGGTTTTTACTACCGATGCAGAAGAATCATTTACTTCTGATACAGTTTTTGAAGTGCCAATTCTATCCATGTGGAAAAGTAAAAATTAAGAAAAGGAGGAATCTTTATATCTTTGAAAATATGAATGTGACACACACAAACTAAGATTTTTTCTCATCGGACAGATTTCTATATGACGTGGAACTTTCACAATGAACTTTACGAATAGAGGTCAAATGGTTAAACGCCAGTGGGACAGAAAATGAAAAGTGAAGAAAGTTCAGAAGTTCGAAGATGATACGGAATGAATACACCGGTGTCACTAAGAACGAATTTGAGTAACTCACTTCCTCCAACCTGGTTATCTGTACCAACAAACCTATGGGGCTCACATTGACAGTCAATAACTTCAGTGTAGGATTCTATTTGTCTATCTGATCAACCATGACTTAAAATATGATCGTACTTAACCTGACACATAACCTAGCCAATAAATTCTACCTTGACGTGGTGGTCGGGCGTGAATACCGCCGTGACTCAACAAGCTACACTGGCTGGAACTTATGTTCCTGCAGGTTACACCATGCAAAAAAAGGTTGCTTGAATGGCGGTTAGACTAAAAGCAGTTACTATGGGGTACATGGGCTCCAGAATCCAAAGTGATAGAATGGAGTATGAACCTGTATTGGACACGGCAACCATGGGAACGTAACTCCTGACGCTGTTCCACTGCCGTGCGGATGAGACTCAAACGTAAAAGGCTCGAGAGAGGGTAGTCCCTTATGACAACCACCTGCTTCGGTTTGGGCTGACTGACTGGTTTCAACATAGAACTTTGCACTGATGTGCAGCAGTTTGAGTCGCCACACTCCATGTAGCACATAAAGCAAGAGAAGGAAGTAAAAGAAATGCAAAATAGAAACAGTAAAGAGTGATATAAGGCGAAAAGAATAGTAATATGGAAGGACAATACAGTTTCATTGGGTATTATAAGTCACAAAGAGCAAATGCATCTGTGTCATTGACACCAATTTTAAGAAATATCACCAATTGTCTCCAGGCTTCATTTGTTCTTACCATCCCGAAGAACCCAACCAGGAGACAGTCTACATCTACATACGTGAATGGCTGGCTTAAACTAACTGTTATGAATTTCATTGACTGATGACACCATGTTTCGGTTTGACCACCACTTACTCTCTCTTTTCCAACCTGATCAATCCTATGTCAGTCAGTTAACAGTGACTGTCGAGGAAGTCGATCGATGGCTAGGCGTACGTAACACATGTCCTAAACATCTCAGTCGATATAACTTCACAGACCCATCTCTTGATCTCCCCTCCTTACCTAGCACTCAACCGAAGCCCAACCTCAATATTGCTCACTCACTCTATTATACCACTTCACACGGGAGATAGAACGCAGGCACCTATGATCAAAGATAGCTAGCCAGGCTTTTCATTTCTTTAAATTTTCATTTCTTCCACTTTCAATGACCATGTCTCACAGCCAACCATCAAGGAGGACGGAGTGGACTGCTGGGCAGTACACCCGCCCCTTGGTCGATAGCCAGCTGGATATCACGTCTACGCCAGAGACGGAGTAAACTGAAATATGCGAAACTAGCCTTCTGTATCCGTGCTAAGATTTCGTCAGCGATCAGCCTGCTGGCGTTGGCTGATGCAACTTCCCAAATAAGTGAAGTGGCCAACACGCTCTATCACTTCAATCCCTATTTCTAATCTAGGAGTCAATGTAGTTCGGTTCGGGTGCCAGGACAACAACTCAGCGCTCACAGTAACAATGAAATGAAACAACAAACCATGAGTAAATCTAATCCCACGCCTATATTGTACCAGTTTCTGTGTTTTAAATAAATAAAATAATCACAGAGCTCATTGAGGAAGGCGGTGATTCGAAAAGCATAATATAGATTTCAGGCAACTTAGTGGATCCACAACCTGATGAACTGACTGATGAACCCAGTCTACCCAGCACTTTATGCTAAGTCTTAACACTACTTGCCTTGGTGTTTAACCTGACACCAGCATGTGGCGGAAAAATAAATTTTAAATATGATGTGTAATCTCTCCATATCTTTTACTTTTACGATATAAAGAATAAAAATGTTGTGTAATACACACCTCGTTATTGTCAACGGTTAAAAAATTACGCGTATTATATTGTACATGATGCTGCTTTGTCTCTATGGTAGAATGCTTGCCAGCCAAGCAAGTAGTGCAGGTTCGACTCCTCATCAACGCTGACTGACTGACTGGTCTCAACATAGAACTCTGCACAGATATGCAACAGTTCGACTTACCCCACTGTTTTCTTCTACCACACAAAGCAAGAGATGTTCAAAAGACAGATAATAAACACGTTTAAATAAAAAGAATAGAAGTAATACGGGATATGTCGAATCACAAAGAGTGAATGCGTCTGCGCCAGCTAGTGAGAACGATGTTGAGACATATCACCAATTGTTTCCACCCTTCATTAGTTCTCACCATCCGGAGGACACCAACCAGTGAAAGTCTATACCTCCCTATGTGGCTGGTTGGCTGGCTGTTGTGAATTTCATTGACTGATGAAGTTATATTCTAGCTTGACCACCACTAGTTCTCTCTTTTACAACCTGATCAATCCTATATCAGTCAGCTCACATTGACCGACAAGAAAGGTAATCGATGGATAGCCAGACATGCACAGCAACACATGTTCTAACCATCTCAATCGATGTAACTTCACAACCACATCATCGATTGATTTCCCCTCTTTACTTAACACTCGATCTAAGCCTAACCTCAATATTACTCACTCACTATATTATACCACGTAACAGGGGAGAAAGAAAGCAGATACCTACGATCGAATACAGCTAGTCGGGCTTTTCATATCTTCCACTTTCAATGACCACGTCTCACAGACCTCGTGCAGTTTACTAGCTGATAGTAATTCCCAGTGAACCAGGGAGGATCACACGTAAGGCTAGCAACCTCACTCCTCGGAAAGCGAAAAACGGAGAAAAAGAACTTAGTCGCATTATATCACAAATCGATAAAATATGAAATACACAGAGGGGGAGCAGCGATTGGACCTTTATCTAAAAGACTGAGTGGAAAATTGTCTGTCACGTGACTAATAGTGGTCACAAGTACAATCTTTAAATGCTTTATTAACATCAACTTTATGCTCATTGTCTATAAGGTGTGCTAAATCAGAGCTACGAATATATATGTTGTTTGTCCCTTGCTTGAGCATGCAGGCTGATTAATGTTCGCATATACGACGATGATTAACCTGTCCAATTGTACGACCAATGTAACTACCTCCACAGGAGCAATCAAACTGGTAGATATACACATAGAGGAAGCGAAATAAGGTAATGAATTTGGAGGGGTTGTGAAAAGACAGAGTACCTCTGTTGTATTGAATGCTCTTTTAACTACTTTTCTCCAGACACTGTGTAAATATTTCGTTGGTGTTGTCACCAAGAAACTGCAGTTTTATGAACAAGAGCATTTTTGATATGTCCAGTTCTTTTGTTTGGTGCAGACTAAATTCTATCAGTCAAGTTTGTAAATGAGGCCACCATGCCACTAGGTGGCTAGCCATCACGACGCACTATGAATTGTTGACATTAGATAGTCGAAGACAATCGACAGGAGGCCTTCGATGTAAGTTTCGTCCTAGTTGGTACTCATCAATCAACAAGGCATATCTGAAACTTTTAAGGAACTCATGTCCCTTCTGAGATTCAAGCCAGAGTCACCACCCAGTGCTGAAGTCAAAGACATTACCATTGAGCTATTCAGGTTCGCGACTGACCTCCTGTAGGACTGACCGTATTAGATACTTTGACTGGACACTAGTTAGTAACTAGTGTAATGTGTCTAGTACTTTGTTTGATGAAGACTCAACTCTTTTGACGCTGTTGCCATAGTGATTCGCCTTAGTGCTAAAATTCATATTTTTCGCAATGAACTTATCTGAATAAACTATATTTTATACTAAGTAATTCTCTGATAATCAATCATGAGCTCTTCACTAAGAGAGAGAGAGAGAGCATAAAGTTGATGTTATAATAAAACATTTAAAGTTATTTATCACGTTTCCAACGGATATTGATTTTTCATTTTACAAATACAATCTCACATAGAGTAGCCATTAAAAAGTGTCAATTAACTATTCAAGATTCAATTTCGATTAGTATAATTCAACTGGATCTCTTTTTTTTTAAAATAATCAATAAAAATAATGAAATAAATCAATAAATAATAAGATGTAACAGTGATCAGTATTCATTCAAACTTACTTGAAAATATTTTTCAATGCTGATAATCCACTTTTATTATTACTATTGTTGTTACTGGTCTGTTTTTGTTCCGAAGATACTTGTGAATTCATTGAAGATGATTGTAAGGCGGCAGAAGGTTGAATAAGATTTACAGGTTGTGTATGACTACCGCCAGCCTCAGCACCGACACCTTCTGAACGGGATTTTGATCGAGGACGTGTAGATTTATGTGTTGTAATAGAAGAGGAACGTGAAGATGGTTGAGCTAAAGGACTAGTATGTTTAATTTTATTTTCATTATTGTGATCGATATTAGGATTTAATTTATCACGATTAGCACTTCCACTACGAGGACGATGTGGAGGTAAAGGCGGTGGGGGAGGAGAAGAAGAAGAAGGAGGAGGATTTACATTAGGCGATTCTGAGTGTGGATGATAAATTGATCGCATATTTAAAGTATTTGCATAATTATTATTATTGATACTACTGAAATTATCATCACCAGTAGTAGTAGTAGTTGTTGTTGTTGTTGTGGGCGGGATAAATGAACGATCCACTGCATGACGGAAACTGTTATTTTGCTTTCGATTTCTTAATATTGGCGGTTGATCTGACTGATGCTCGATGTCTACTGTGTCTGGATCTAGACGAAATTTGAAAGAGAAACACACATAAATGTACGATAGAAAGTGGAAATCAAATAGTCCTGATGTGAGCATTCGATTAAAATACAAATCTAATATATATATATATATATATGTATTGTGAGGGAAGTAAATGAGACACGTTTTTAATGAAGATGTGATAAGATTAAGAGATGATAAGAATGGGGTTGAAAATATAAGTAAGTAAGCGGTGGTGTAGAAGTCATTAGTTGGTTATGTCTTAATAGGCCAAGGGAGGGATAATGGCTGTACGAACTTCTTTCGAATGCATAGTTTAGGTTTATTAGTTCGAATGCATATCATCGCCTGAGCTGTGTGCAGTAAACGAATACGAAATCTATTCAAAAGATTCGGTGGGATACGATGAATTACTTTGAAAGCTCTCGTTTTCTCCACTACATGACCACTATCAACTAAATGTGACAAAATTGAGCTACGGATCGAGGAGTTTTATATGTATTACTGATATATCGACGATATTATATATGTGTAAAACTTGGACACTGTAGTAGTAAGTAATTCCATATACTAATATGGAATGTCAATGATACATTTATCTTATCCAATGGGAATGTTAAAATAGACGAATTGTTGCTGAAATTCAACAACGTCCACCCTTCGCTTACTTTTACTTGTGAAGAGAAGCAAGAGAATAAACTACATTTTCTGGATGTTTTGCTAAGCAGGAGAGAAGATGGGTCACTTGGGAGAAGCGTGTATAGAAAAAGCACATTCCCAGGGCAATACACACACTTCCTTAGTTACGTGCCCATTAAATATAAAAGGAATGTTGTAAAATGTCTTACGAGCAGAGCAAGAAAGATATGTACGGATGACCTCTTACAAAAGGAATTTGAATATATTCACGATTCCTTGATGAAGATGGGCTATCCGAGTAGTTTCATAAAGAAACATATGAAAACATCAGAGAGAAAACCTGAGACTCTGACTGCACGTAAAAAACCTCTATTTATTAAGTTACAATTTAATGGTGACTTATCTAGTGAGACTTTATTGCAGAGACTTTCCAGGAGTATATGCAGAACACTTTACGCAGCAAACCTATGTTTGTTATTCTCTAGCCGACGAATGATTGGGGCGCAAACGAAGGATAAGTTAGATAGTTTTGCCACATCTGTGTGCACTTATCAATTCAACTGCACCTGCGGTGACAGTTATATTGGACGTACTACTAGACAGCTTAGCTAACGTGTTAGTGCACATCTCCCATCGTGGTTTGGCAAAGGACAGACAAAAATAATCCGTAGCTCAATTTTGTCACATTTAGTTGATAGTGGTCATGTAGTGGAGAAAACGAGAGCTTTCAAAGTAATTCATCGTATCCCACCGAATCTTTTGAATAGATTTCGTATTCGTTTACTGCACACAGCTCAGGCGATGATATGCATTCGAACTAATAAACCTAAACTATGCATTCGAAAGAAGTTCGTACAGCCATTATCCCTCCCTTGGCCTATTAAGACATAACCAACTAATGACTTCTACACCACCGCTTACTTACTTATATTTTCAACCCCGTTCTTATCATCTCTTAATCTTATCCCATCTTCATTAAAAACGTGTCTCATTTACTTCCTTTACAATATATTTATATACGTATGAGGCAAAGTTATAATTTTTGGAAGATTATTACTGATTGTTATCAACAAAGAAATTTCAGTGGATTCCAGATTTGTAGCCCATTTATCGCTCAGTACACACAAACAATTTAACGGTCATTTTAACAGTTGAAAGTAATGCCAAGTGTTATTTGGCAGGGATTTGCGTGGGTACAGATTTGATCACGAGAGAACTACTAGAAAACCAAGTCAGATAGGAGATCAGTTCATCGCATTTGACACTGGTTAACAGTTGCGCTATGTATGTATCGCGAATTGGTAGAAGTTGGAATTATGGCCATTGGATCTCACCCTAGTGGCTAAATGGTCCCACAAGCTCGCCTTGTAACCAGAAGGTCCTGGGCTCGAACTCCAGTGGTGGGGGGTAGTGCTAAGGAATCACAAACTAGGCTGACGAAACAACTGTTCAGTTGAAAGTAAGTTTCGATGATGACTATATAAAAAAACAAGTAACTACTGAAGAAAATGGAACAAAAATCCATGCGTTCCAAGTTAAATGGTTGCTTGACACTACTTCAAAGACAATGTAGAAGTTCTTGATTACGTGAAGGATTTCGACTGATTTTGAAGAGAATATGATTTCACACTGAGATCCAGTATTCAATGATGACATTGAATGACTGGCTGGCTGACTGATTGACTGACTAACTCACTTTCAACATGGAACGTTGCACAGTAGTGCACCCAGTTCATCTTGCCACACCCCATATACCGCACAAAGGTGGACAAAAGGAGAGAGAGAGAAAAGAGACTCAAAGGAACAATAATAAACAAAAATATACAGGAGAAAGAATAGTAACATGGAAGAAAATGAGGATTTAATACATTTAGGAGATTAAACAGTAAATGCACCTGTGAGCGGTTTTGAGCCATATCACCAATAATCTTCAGGCCATTGTTTCCTAGTATCGTAGGACCCCAGCCAAGCGGCAGTGGGCACCTCCATATATGACTAGATCAAACCAACAGTCAAAGACTTTACAGATTGATGCTAGGTTTTGATTCGAACACTTCTAACTCCCTCCCAACCTAATTGTGTGTTAGCTAACATTGCTTAGCACGTGTAACACGTGTCCTAACCATGTAAATCGATGCAGCTTCTCACACACTTCATGATTAACATGCTCCCTTAACTAACAATTTACGCTTAGCCGCAATACTGCTCGTCACATTATAACACTTCATGCGGTAGAACACAAACACCTAGATTTAAAGACAGCTAGTCCTTCCATTATCTTTCCCTTTCGATGACTGTGTCAAAAGCAACAGTAGTACAAAACAATCTGCAGTCCAGTACACACGCCATTTGATCGACAGCCGGATAAACTTTATTACAGTATGTATAGGAAAGGTATTTCCTTGCTGGTGAACACATGCAAGTTTTTCCGTTACCTCAAAGTATTTCGACATACTTTTTGAAAACAGTGCAAGCTACCGTATAATGGATTGTCAGAAGATATCCGGCTGTAGACCAAAGGACCTATGTACTGTTCAGCAATTCCCTCCATCCTCCTTCATGGCTGGCTGTCACACATGGCCATTGAAAGTGGAAGACATGAAAAGCCCGGCTAGCTGTATTTGATCATACCTGTCTGCGTTCTATCTCCCGTGTTAAGTGGTGTAATAGAGTGAGTGAGTAATATTGAGGTTAGGCTTCAGTCGAGTGCTAGGTAAGTGGGGGAGGGGGGAGGAAATCAATCGATGATGTGGTTGTGAAGTTACATGAATTGAGATGGTTAGGACATGTGTTGCTGCGCATGTGTGCCTAGCCATCGATCGCCTTCCTCGACGGTCAATGTCAGCTGACTGACATAGGATTGATCATGTTGGAAAAGAGAGAGCTAATGTTGGTCAAACGAAAACATGACTTCATCAGTCAATGAAATCCACAACAGTTAGTTTAAGCCAGCCCGCCAGCCATGCATAGGGAGGTTCAGACTGCCTGACTGGTTGGGATCCTCGGGATTCTCAGAACCAACAGCTGGAGACAATTGGTGATATGTTTCAAAATAGTTCTCACCAGCTGGGGCAGATGCATTCACTCTTTGTGATTTCTCATATCCAGTAAAAGTTTATTGTTCTTCCATATTACTATTGTTTTTGCCTCACTCACACTTCTGTTTATTATCTCTCTTTTGAATTTCCCTTAACTCTCTTCTCTTGCTTTGCGTGGTAGAAGGAGAGAGTGTGGCAAGTCGAACTGGTGCACATATCTGTGCAGAGTTCTATGTTGAAATTAGTCAGCCAGTCGGTCAGAATATATCATTACTGTCATGATTTTATGGCAGTTTAGTTCATTGTCTACAATAATACTTCAATTTCAAATTTCCCTCCAGCTATAACCGTCTAAACAATGTTGTAGTATCAGGCTTTCATACACATTCAATGTGCTTCTTGAAAAATTAACACCTTTTTTGTGATAAAATACAAATTATTGTACTATGGTTCTCTTGGCTTCCAAGTGGCTTCAGTGGAACATCTCCACTTTCGCCTGTTCTCTGAAATCTTTCTTAGCTTACTCTAATATGGCTCATAAGCCTTCACCTCTTCCTCACACACACACACGACCTCCTCAATGTCAACCTCGGACGGACTCATGTCCAACTTGTCATTTTCCCTTCGGGTTCTAATCGACGGCCTGTCTGGCGCGTGATGTCATTCAACAGTCTCCACAGTGTGTGTCCCATTCATCTACATTTTCTTCAGCATCTTTGTCGAGTGACAGGTTCTTCGCTGATTGGTTGGATGTCAACAAAAGACGCCTGGGTAGTCAGTCCACTGACACATTAACTTCTCTTGAACAACAATGTCCAAGAGAGATATGACCTGTTAATTTTACATCGTGAGAATAATCATCTCCTGACTATTTTGTCAGTTTTATTTTTATATCACTGTCATCTTCTTTGCATTCCTTTCTTCCTTTTTTTTTAACCCACATTTCAAAACTCTTGATTGATGGCTAAATAAATCCATACACATATATACTGTGACATCTTAGAACATTTCGTCACTTTTATGTACTATTTTTATTATTCCTTTACGTCCCGAGTGGAATGTAGGGCTTCAACCTAAAGCTTTAGAGTTTCAGTAGCAGTGGTTTCATTTTTACGGAGTTGGCTTGCTGGCCTAACAACCACCCACCCACCCTCTTACTGACCTTACTACCGGCTTAGCGGGATTTAGGAGTACGCGTTGGTCAGGAATCGACCCCCGGGGCCGTGGGCGTGGTTGGCGGGCGTTCTACCTCTGAACCACCGACGTAAAACATTTTTTCATGTTTACTCAAATACTTGAAAAATCTATCAATCCTAATTTTGATGATGTTAGGTCAAGAAGAA